TTTTTACACAACCTGTTAGCTTCAGTCTGTTGTTTATAAAACAAAACCCTTTTTTTTTTTTTTTTTTTCCTACAGTGAAGTTACTAAAACTGTCTAGCCACATTGTATAAAAAGCAACAACTATCAGCTTTACCTAAGGTGGAATTTTGTATATGTAGCTGAAAATGTTGCAAGTCATGTATCAGCTTACCTTCCTTGATCAAAGAGCTCTGGATCAACAGATTTCCTGAAGAGGAAGATGGTCTAGTGGACATTTCAGCATTGAAAGATTCTTTTGTAGGAAAAGATCTTTTTCCAGGCTGCGGAGAACATCCTTCTGATTTCACTGGGATTGCATGGTTTTTTTTAGGACTAAACAAAGAATAAAATGGTCTGATGAAACATTTTTGCCTAATTATTTTMTTAGATAACAAATGATCTGTTTAATAACTTCAGTAATATTAAGATTTTAAATAGATTTCAAGAAGGAAACTGAAAATATAAACTATTTTAAAAGAATTTAAAATAATTTATAACCTACAAAAGCAGATTCCTCACAAGAAAAAGAACAACTTCAGCTGTACAAACAATGAATATACCTTTAGGAAAAGAAAAGCTTATTGCAGAACATTTTATCTGAGAAAAGCTTTATCTTTTGTATTGCGAGATGTTCAACTCAGAGTACACAGCATGGATTGCAATATACTAGAAAATTTTATTTGCTTTAAAATTGTTCCAGAAAGAAAAACCTGGGGTTCTAGGCCACTAAGTCTAGCTCTCAAATTTTAGAAACACATCTATCAGGTTTTCTGAGGCGCAGGATCATGAGGCAGGAAGCAATTATTATCTTGGACTAACGTGTATGGAGAGGCACAATGTTGGATATGATTTTCTGTTCCCTTAGGGGACAGAATGTGCTTCAAATAAACTGGCAACTAGCTCTAGGAAACAACAAAGGAATTCAAAGCAATCACTCCCCAAAACAAGCAGAAGATCATAAACAAATACACTTTGCACAATTCAGACTGATCAGATGAGTAGAGAGATAAACTCAGCATCTCTCTATTTTCTTTTTCTTCTCACACAAAGCCATAAAGGTTACTGGTCAAAGAAGAACCACACAGTAATCAAAAGTGAGGACTCTGAAGTTTCACCCGTACCAAAGTTTCCTGTCCTCTGAAAAACAGTAACTGCTCTTCATTTCATTGGAACAGAGCGGTAAAGTGGAACAATTTCCAAGTAAGACAATTAGTACTACAGCAAAAGAGTTTCTTTTAATAAACTGAACATGAATTGAAGGATTGATCTGGATAGTTTTATRTTTTTCAGGCTTCAGACTCGTTGAAGCAAACAGCTGATGGACATACATTAGACTTAGAAGTCTGAGCTGCAAGCAACAAGCTTTTTCCCCTCTGTGTTTGTGCCAGACACATGGAAGGCTCTTTGAGAACACATTATATGGAAGTCAAAGACTTTTTGTTGTATTATTTCAAGAAAATGGAACTAAGAAGAAGAAAGTAAATATCTGCAACACTTTAAGCCCACATATTGCAAAAATACAAATTCCATTTCCCCAAATTGGTACCTTGGTGTTAAAAATGTTTGAGTAACAAGCCTGTTTCTTTCACAGTTCTGAAGTCGTGTTCTTAACTCATTCATTTCTGCATCTTTGAACTGCAACTCTGACTGTAATGACATCAACTGAAAGATGAAAGAAAACATACAGTTTTATTGTTGGAGAATGGTGGTGTCACAACTGCAGAATAAGCTTTACTGTAAATTTTCAAGATTGCTATCTGTTTACTGCTATTATTACATAGCATCTCTAACTACATGTATGTTAACTAATATTACCTTAGAACCAAGTGTCAAAATGAAGCTAGGAATAAGACCTGTTAAGGTATAGCWAGTAATATGCAGAGGTCATTAACAGGAGAGTAAACAGCACATTAGCAGGCACTGTCATTCTCAAGGCTTTGAGAAAAATGAATGCAACAGGAAGAGCAATCAGATGGTCACAGTCATAGAGCGTATGCTGCTGCCCAGTATTTTCCATTTTTAAATATGTTCTAAATGTAATGCTCTGGGAATCCCCCCTCCCCTGAAAAAAAAAAAAGAAAAAAAGCTATTCCTTTATTTTAGCAAAAGAAAACCCTTAAAATTTCTTAATTTTTTTCAAGATAACAAAATAAATGCATAAACATTTTTGAAATTTCACACAAATGCCCTTGCTTTGACCTGTACATCACTGAAGTCATAAAACTACTTTTTGCATGTGATGTACAAATAATTAACACAGTTACGAACCTTTTTGGAGAACTCTTTTTCTTTTTCRCTTAGCATCTGAGATTTTTCCTGTTCTAGGAGCATATATGATTTTTTCTGTTCCTCTATAGCACACTCCATCTGCTGCATTGAGTCTCGCAATATTTTAATTTCTCCATTTTTAGTAAGAATTTCATCTTGCATTTCTTTCAGCTGCAAAAACACAAATTTTAGATTACATATTTAACCAGAAACATGGATCATTATCTCTGCTGTTGAAAGAGTTGCATTTTTTTCTTTCTGTGGAGATAATGCTTCTGTTATCCAGTTCAGACGTTCTGCAGTGCTGTTGTTTATCTGTTTCTGATTAAATCAGGCTCAATGACTGTTTTCTCTGACAGAACTAAAACATGACAACAAAAGCATATGTTCCTATACTATCCAGACATATATCACCACACAGCAACAGGATTAGAACGGAAGTAGTTATCCAAAAAATCGTGAAGAACCATGAAAAAAAAACACATCCAACCACAATATAAAGTCATGTTTTATCCCCATATTGAACACGGTGTGCAGACAGGACCTTCCTCAATGAAGAGTGCACTAAAAGAGAGAAAGATTCAGAGAACTGAGGAAAGGATGATGAAAGAGAGTTGGTTAGTGTAGAAAAACTGATAAATCTGCATTTGCTAATCTCCAACAAGCAAGAAATAAAGTATTGCTCTCTCTTAGCATTACTAGAGCTGGTTTAGAATGATGCTTTTTTATATCAGCGGTTTAAAAAACAAAAAAGAAGAAAGAAAGAAATACTAGTAACAAACTCTTATCTGCCTTTTATCGGCCACATCAGAAAGATGTTTCATACATGCCTTCCTATAGCAAGGAATATAAAGGGGAACAGAAGATACCGCTAACCTTTTGTTTAATTTCGTCGTGCTGTGTTTGCAATACTTCAAACTGGAATGCATCTCTAATCAGACTATCGTCTGCACTGCTTCCTGTACCAGGAAAAAAACAGAGGCAGGAACGAGGAGCATCAGCAATGATCCAACGTTTCAAAATTGTGTTATCCACCACCACATGCTTTTTAATACTTTCTCACTAAAACCAATTAAGCTGCACACATCTAATCATGACAGTAACTTTATTACAGCTTGTGTGGGCACATTTAGAACAGAGAGAAGGAAAACCTCCCCCTCCTCCCCCTAAAAAAAATTTTTTTAGTGTGTTAATATATAAGGACGTGCACAGAACTACTTCCTGAGGCGCAGTAACTGGGACTAATGCCTTCAAGGTAATTTAGCTACCGTCGCCTGCACGAGCAAGGGCTAAGAGAAAACCTTCTGACCTRCAGGGACTATAAGCTACAAACACCAGCAGTGCCAGCACGTGTAGAAGCTGGCGGCCCTGTGCTGYGTTTATGACCGCGGCCCTGTCCCTCCTGAGGGGCACTGCGGCTGCCAACGGGGCCCGCAGCAGCGGCTGCTCGCGTACAACAGGGATCCTTCCGACCTCTCCTCCTGCCGCCGGCGAGGCCGCCGCCCGCCGGCTGCGCGCTGCCGTTGCCCAGCGCGAAGGAGGCCCGCGCGCCCCCGGCGCCCCTCGGCGGGGCCTCGCCGCCGCCCTGCGACAGCGCCTGCGACGCCAGGATGTCGATCTCCTCCAGCTCGTCGGCCGTGAAGTCGTCCTGCTCGCCGAAGGGGTCGTCGGCGGCGGCCGCCTCGCCGCTCTTGGGCCGCTTGTGGGGCGGGAGGCCGTTGTCGAGGCCGCGGGCGGGCGGGGGGCAGGGGGCGGCCCAGAGCGCCGCGCCGCTCCGCTTCTTGCTGCCCAGCGCCGCCATGGCGGCCCCGCGCGGCGAGCGGCGCCTCAGGGCGAGCGGCGCCCGCCGCCTCCGCCGCCCGCGCGTCCCGCGCCGCCACGCCCGCCAATCAGCGCCGAGCGCGCCCAGCCCCGGGCCAATAGCAGCACGCTGAACGCGCCGGCAGCCCTACCGCGGCGCGCGAGGGTCAAACCGCGCAGCGGGCTGGGTGTAACCCCCGCTTCGATTGGCCACGAGCGGCAGGCGCTGTAAACGCGCCGCTGATTGGCCRTGCCGCGAGCCGCCTCATGAGGCGAGTGCTGCCGGCTCAGCGCGCGGCGGCGAGTGAGGGCTGATGACGTCAGGCTGCGAGCAGGTGATGTCAGGGCTGGCCGGCATGACGTCACGCGGGTGCCAGGTTGCGGGCGGCGGGGCCTGGCGGTTGGGCAGCAGCRCTACTGCCGTGTTCGGGTCCACGATGTCACCGTGTAGGCCCCCACGATACCTCCGGGCTGAGGCCAAGTCCCTGGGGCCTGTGGGCCCAGCGGCTTCTCCCGGTGCTCAGTTGTTAACCACTTAGTGGAGAAAATGGGGCCAAGAAGGGCATTTTTTTTGTTTGTTTGTTTGAGGTAATGGCACCAAGAAAGCGCAGTGTTTGCAGGATTTCAGTCCTGGAAGCCCCTGGTTAACAACAGGAGAGAGGCTTGCGCTTTTGCTGTTGTTCYATCCTCTGTTTGGAGAAATTCTATAGATTTGAGAAAAAAAGTGTCTGTGCTGACAGCAGCACTGCATAGTGTAGGTGGTCGCAGCCAAGACGAGCGCCCACGTGGTCCTGCCGCCCGTTGGCAAAGCTGGGCTGACACTGAGCCTCAGTGCCAGGAGGCGGCTGTGAATCCTGCCGTGGTCCCCAGGGAAAATCCATCAGAAATCCCCCATTATGCAGGAAAACTTCTTATTTTGATTCCCCTAATATTTCTTTCTGATTGGCAGCAGCTCCTCCCAGTCTCTCCGCTGAGGTGCTAAGGAAGAAGGCAGCACCCAGGGCTGATTTCCCTGGATGTGAGGTGTGAGCGCAGGGCAGCTGCACCTTGTTTGCAGAAGGTGCACAGAATAGGGGCAGCCTGAGAGAAAAGTAGGTTATTTAAACTAAATAACCAATTTAATTAAAGCAGACTGAATTTAAATAATCTAAGAGGAGCTTGATTTAGACTTTACTTAGTGTTAATGCTGTTCTTCATTTAGATTTCCTTTGAGTAACTGAGTATGCTTATAATTTAATTATGATTGTTATTTATATATAACAATATCTGATATTACTGATACAGCTGTAGTTTTGCTTGAACCTTTTTGCTCTATCTAGCTTTGAGGAAAGTGGAACAATAGAATACTCACAGATAGTTTAAGAGGGTAAACAAGATAATGACTTCTATTTTTTTTTCTTCCTTTCCAGGGGTTTTTGCTAAAGATAAATGACTCTGCAGGTGAACAGAATAACCAGAAGGGTAAGTCTGACTTGATAGGCTTGAAAATAAAGCGTTTGTGAGAGATGGCAGTATATATGGTAATGATAATTCATCTACTCTTGCTGCTTGTGATACAATTTTCAACTTTCAAAGCCAAATAAGTCTTCCAGAAAAAGGAGAAAACAATGCATTCTTTGTTTTGTTTGGGGGTGCTGTTTAGAAGTTGTTTTGAATGAAAAGATAAAGCCGCAGTGGTCCCTAGAACAGCCGGGGTCGGGTAGGGAGCCCCGTAGCCAGACCCGCAGTCGCTCGCCGGGTGTTTAAAAGGACGCGTCCCGGGCGCGTTCCCGGTTTTCCCAAATCCCCGCGTTTCCTCCCTCGTTGCCACGGAGAGCTGTTTTGGTGCTGGCCCCGCCCCCTCGCGCGCCGCAGCCAATGGGCTGCGAGGCGCCGCCCCCTCCGCCTGCAAAACAAACAGTGCGCCTCACGCTGCGGCTCCGCTCCCCCGCCCCCCCGCGCCTGGCG